ACATTTGATGTATAGATATATAAAATATTAGAAATAAACTCTGAATGACAAAACTAATTATATACAATAATTATATATCATATTATAAGTTTGTAATGCCACGTGACATTGTAAATAATGTAACATTTTTCATAAAATATAAAGGACTAAATTAGAGTGATTAGAAGTAAAGGGGCTTAATTGTATCTTAAAAAAGAGTAGAAGACCTCATTTGGGTATTCGAAATTTCTAAATTGGGGTCGGGTGCTGCGCATTTCCTTCTCAGGATCCCGCAAACTCCCGTCGCCCGTCATCCCCGCCGGTATCACTGAAGGTGATCATCGCCGATTCAGAAAATGTCGGTTACTTTCAGTAAAGCTCTCATCGTTTCGTTTCAAAAAGGTTTACTTGTCTACACGGCTCCCCGCTGTTTCCCCTCCCTCTTGTTTCCTTCTCTCTCCCGAGTCCCGAAAGCTTTGGGATTTCGACCTTTTAGTAGAGCTGTTGAGGTGTGAGAACTTCGAAGTGCGCTTCTGAGAAATAAAAAATGATGATTCTTTCGGCCTTTTAACTTCGGTCGGTATCAATTTCGATCTTTGTTTCCTCTTATTCACACTCAGAGTAGAGGGAATATTGTTTTTGAAAATTTTGTTGCAGGTGTTTTATTTTCACCCTTTATGCAGCTTGAGAATGTTTACCTTACCTGGTATAATTGGGATCCTTCCTTGTTCTTCTCCCAGTTTCTTATTTGGGAAACCAACTCACTGTTGATTATGATTTTTCACATTTGCCAACCAAATATCTGGACACTTTCAGCATTTCAAATGTCAAACAATTGGTTCAAATTGGTAATGGCCATCTCACCATATGAATATTTCAGTTTTAGCTGCTGCTTCATCCCTATGATAGAGGTCACCTGGGTGGACTGACGTGACATTACTTGGATGTTCATATTTTCTGTGTTGGTTTATAGCTCTTTTTTTATCTGTTACTTAAATTTTGCATTCATAAAATAGAAGTATTTCTTTCCTTTTTATAATCTTAACCTTCTATAGTCAGTTCTTATTGCAGTCTTTGCAGATGACCTCATGGTTCAGACCTCATACTAAATTATAATGGAGAAATCTTCACATTCCTTTGCATACTTCTATGTGATTTTCCTAATCTAACAACACATTGATTCTCTCTATTTGTCTACCTGGAAAATAGCTTCTGTACAAGAATCAATAGTTGTAGAGTGGCAAGGAAACATTCTCGGATGGTTTAAATGGTTTGTACTGTGGGCAGTTTTCTAAAAAAATTTCACTTCCTTTGGAATCTTCTTTTTCAATGCATGCTAAAGATCAAGAAACATAATAAGTTAATAAAAACTGCACCACTTCATCTCCCATGATATTTTGGATTATTTATGATATTTGAAATAGTAATTTGAAATTATTCAAAAGGTTAAAAGAAAATTTTTAGCTGAGCTTCAGCAAGAAAGTGAACATGGATTTTGTATGGAATTTTAAGGAACTATAATTAAGTTTTTCATGTTATTTCAATTGGCTGCTTCTCCTAGCTATTGTCAAATAGAGAAGACCATTACGATTTTGCCATTTTGGTGTGAGCAAAGCAAGACATAACTGTGGATTGTGGGTCGTCTACATGGGACATTGGATGCCTAATGAGCTCTGCCCTTAATTGGAGTTAAACTATGCATAGAGAATGTGTTCTTTCTTACTAACTTATCATGTTTCAGATACTATCTATTAAAATTTTCATCTGTGATTATGTTCTCTGTTCCAATTGTCTTGGTTTGCTTCCATTATTTCTATGGCTGTCTAGGAATCACCTAAATAACCTAAGTATTGTGTGTTATGAAGTGTTTTGTAAAGAAAGATAGAGAAGACCATAATGATCCTACCTTGTCTGAGTTTCTTGAAACTTTACTCACTGCATATCATGGTCTAGATTTGATGCCAATCCAATATTCTGGGTGCACTAGCTACTGAAGTTTGAAGTTGCCATATCTAGTTCTAGTAGTGTTCTAATTCTGTAGATGGTCTGTGATGCTAACAAAAGGAAATCCCTTCTGTTCATATATTAGATGAAGCCTTTCCAAAAATTAGGTTGCTACTCCATAATATCGTTTTTGCTTTTGTTGTTTACCTGTACAGTTAGACACCATGCCATGTTGATTCCCCCTTTTTTTTTTAATATTCATTTTTGCCTCCAAGAAATCTCTAAATATGGCTTGGTTCCATATCTTTTGCAGAAGATTTTCATTCTCTAGAATTTTGGATTCTGATATTCTAATACACATAAACCATCTTTGACAATATTACAGATCCCCTCATCAATTTCAACATTCTAAAAGCCCATATTAATTCATATAAGTTTAATTTTGTTTATTTATATTTTGTATTATATGTTAGAATATTTTTACACCATATGAAGATAAAAGAATTTTGAATTTGTAACCTTTCAGGATCTTGGTCTCTCTGTCTTCTATAGGACCAAGGAATCAGCATATGTATCCTCTGAAAAATGTGAGTTGTTCGTTGTTCATTGTCTGTCAATTTTGATCCTGTTGTACATGCCAAATGCAACAATCTCATTCTGTTTATCTATTTTGTCTATGGCATTGACTTTTACTGTTAGTTTATAACCAGATTGAAGTAGCGGTGAACGAATGGCATATACCTAGGTTTCCATTATGTAGAATTCTGATAGATAGAGTTGAATCATGCTGAACCACTTAATTAATTAGGCTAATGCAGACAAATTTCTCCTTTTTGCGTTTGTCATGTTAGTCATGAGGAAGCATCAGGACAAGACATGTGGTGGCACAAGCTAGATTGTAGCTCTAGTCAGTAGTTACCAAGAGGACATCCTAAATTTTATGCAACCACAATATCAGCATTATTTTGTGTACAATAATCATACATCTTTATTTACATATTTATTTATCTATTGCTGAGAGTGCATCTTTGTTTTATTTCTATTTTGTGTGCATAAATTATTAAAAATGCCTTTGGGTATGGTTAATATCAATGATGTAAGAAAACCAACATACCAAATGCAAAAAAAGGGAAAATTTGTCCCATTGGACGAATGATCTTTTTTTCAATGTCAAGGGTGTAATCCCCCACCAAATCCATGGTTTATTACTTGTGTCAACTGTGTCAAAGTTAGTTAATCTCATGCACTCATTAAAATTTAATTCTTTGATGCATAATACTTTAGGTTACAAAAGAGGGAATGGCTCTTTTGCATCTCATAATCTGTTAATTTATTCCAAGGATTTGAGACGTGGCAGTTGAAAGCTATGACCAATTTGTACACTAAATTTTAACTCGATTAACATTCATTTAAATTTAGGTATACTTTATATTAACATATTTAGTTGATATGCTGCAAGATAGTAGATACTATTTTCTTTAGCACATGGCAGCTTGAGCAAAACTAGAGGTGTCAACCAGGTCTAGTAACCTAAGAAACTATTCACTCATACACATTGGATTAAGAGATTTGAACCCAAAAAATTGAAGACTTACTCAAAAAAATCATCCTTAATTTACTAAACAAACCATCCATACATCATGTCAAGGTCTATTTAGCCATTTATTTAGAT